CTCTTAAAAAAAAAAAAAAAAAAACAACAATTCGTACCAGATGGATAGATTTAGCATTTTATTTCGATAAAAAACCCATCTTTTTTGTTGTAGCTCATCAGTAAAATAAAGTGACACCCAGTAATGCACTCACAGGAAATTTCCGTCAGGCTTTCGATAAATGCCTGACAGCTTTTTCTCGCTTTCTCCTCCTCTTCCCTCCTTTCAGTCATCTTTCCGTTTTTCCCCCTCCCTCCCTCCTTTCCTTTTTCTGTCTCTCTCTGTCTCTCTCATTTCCATTACTGTCTTGGGCAGGACAGACCGAGAGGGCCAAATAATTGAAATAACTACTTTGTTTCCTAGCTTATGTTTTGATTTAACAGAATTTGGCTGGTGATTAAGTTGAATATGAATTTTGATATTGTTTTGCTTAATCAAAAGGGGCAATTTTATGAACGTCACAGTTATTTATAGAACACTACTGTTTGTGGTGCGAGTGTGTCAGACCTTGTTTATGTAAGCTGTATATCACCTCTGAAATTGTAAATAGTTTTTATACTACTGGAAAGGATTAATGTTAAATTGACAAGTGCAGTATTTACTATATTGGAAAGAGTGGGTTGATTTAGCCTTTTAATTATTTCATTCATTTACAAGTAAACACATTTTGGATATATCCATTGGGTTTGTACAGTATTAGTTAGTTATCAGCCACGACAGGCACTTCGACTTTTTTTTGTCTTTTAAAACGAGTGATAAATATCTGCAGGCATAGTTAAACCTGCATGAGCCCTCCTCTATTACCTGGGTAATTAGGGTTCATGTTAGCTAATTTAATGCACAACAGGTGAAGGCTAAGATTTCTTTACCACCAGAACAGCACTCCTCCCCTGCCTCTATTTAGTCTCCAGATGGTGGCATAAATCAAAATGACTTTCTGACATTAAATCATGTTGACACAAAAACTTGTGTTACAGATGAATGCCGAGTTAGCTGGGAGGATGTAACTTCATGGAGTTGGAGTAGCTCAAAGCGATGTGGACACTTCTGACCACTGATCAGCCCATAGCAGCCTATGTAACTGGGACAGTAAATAACTCAAACTCACCTTCACTGCTGAATCAGTATTTGTGGTATCGTTTTGCTGCCTGGAAATGGGTGTGTGTGCCACCACTACTCAGGGAAGGCCTTCATCCCCAGGCAAAGCTTGGCAGGGCCAGGCTGGGGGATGGGTGGGTGCACTTTTGGTATGAGAGCTTCTGGGGTCTTTGGAAACAGGGAGCAGGCTCTGTAAGGAGAGAAACTGGTCACACCGGGCACAGTGTTTAGTTTTGTCCTGTCACGTAGCCATACTTAGCTAACGATCATGTGTGAGTACAGAGATTAAGAAAATACCCACCACCTGCTTCAAAAGTCAGATTCCTTTCCTGGGTGTGCATCACTTGGCAATCTCCCCTCTGTGCCATTTGGCCTCCGTCCTGTAATCATGCCCCTCACATACCTTCCAATCCTTAAGGAGTGGCGTGGAGTCCGTGGTATGAATGTGTGCTGCAAGGGATTGCTTAATGATCTCCAAGGTAATTTTAGAAAAGATGTGAAATTGGGCAGGAAGAAACTATCAGGATAGTTTATATCAGAGCATAAAACTAATTTATCAAGTGACCAAGGTGACTGCTATTTCTTCTCTCTCATGATGAGCAGACCAGAAACTATTTCTGCACCTTCCAGTCCACACACGACCAGGAAAGGGACAGAGAGCCTGCCAGTCCTGGGGCGTGTCTGAGAAGACACAGAAGGGCAAGATGGAAGGCTGGCTTCTGTGTGTTGCAGACTTATTGGACAGAGCCAGCCTGGTTTTCTCCCTGGTGCTCTCCTGCTTGGAAGGGAAGCAGTGAGCTGCCTGATGCACAGCAGGACTTCCTGGGACAGCCGTTTTCCTCAGACTGGAACACTCCAGTGCAGATTCGATTCTCTTTCTTTTTTGGATATTTTTACTTTTGAATGTGTAAACAGGACGAGGAGCAGGTAAGCCACCTTGTAAAAGTGACACACAGTGGCATTCCCCAGTCACAGGGTCAGCAGCCAGTTTATCCCTCATCTTCAGTGCTTCGTTTTGTAGTTCACACACACAACACAGGGACTCACCCTAAGTTGCCCTGCAGTAAGTGTGTAGTGGACCGAAACCGGTGGCCTTTAATTTGTGTGTAATAAACAGAGAACTAGTCTAGGAACCAGGAAAGCAGAACTGTAATTTTGGATCTGACTTCTTCTAGCTCCATGACCTATGCAAAATCCTTTCATTTTTCCTATTGTTTTGAACAAAGATATTTTGGATTGGCTGATCTTTAAAAATTATTTTTAGTTTCATGGTTTATAATCTACAGATAATATAATCTTGGGGTAGTTGAAATCAGTACCTTGCTGTTAAATGTCATTGATTGGCTTAAAAAAGAGTAAGACCCTGGTTTTGGATGCCTGCCTACTTCTGCGGTGTAAATATGCCCGGTGGGAACTTCTGCTCCCTGCACGGAACAGAGTTCTTGAGACCATCTCTTCATAGAGTAGTCTCCATGCACACTCTCTCGCCAAAGGCCTAAACTGGTCTTGTGTCCCTGCATGCAAAGTAAAACCCGCTCTTTCTGTCTGTACTCACACCTGCTGTCCCACCGGCCTGACAGCCGTGCCTGCCAGTTCCTCTTCACTCTGACGTCCAGGAATTCCTTCCTTTCAACCCGGATCAGTGTTAGACATTTTTAATATTTTTTAAATCTAGCATTACTGTTTTAGAAAAGGATGCCCACAAAGGTGATGTGCCTCTGTGCTGGAGAGCACCTGTTTCAATTTATAATTATCACATTTTAAGCTGGGGAGAATGTTAGCGGTTCTTTCTGGACTCAGTGAACGGAGACGGAACTTATTTATATACCACGAGTGGCAGAAAAATCCAGCAGGTGAGAACAGTTACTATGCGCTGTTACTTTTTGTCACTTGTACAGAGTCCATAATGCCTGGAGGTCAATTTTGCATGAAGTGAGCATCTCCGGTGTGGTTGGCTATGAAGGTAAAAGAAGTACAAACCATGCTCTGGTTATAGAGGAGCTCATGAGCCAACATGGGCTCAAATGTGAATGGAGGACTGTGGACTGGTCACAGCTGTGAGCGAAGATGGCATGCAATGCCCTGACAGACTTGAGGCTCCTCATGGAGCCTGCAGAGGGCAGAGAAGCCTGGAGAGCTGCCACGACTGTGCAGGACGTGTGTGTGTGTGTGTGTGTGTGCGTGCGTGTGTGCACACGTGCATGGGGTAGAGAGAGAAGAGACAGCAGATACCAGGAACGATGCTGACAGTGATGGTGCAGGGGTCAGCAGCACACTGCAAAGATCATGGGTCACATGGCTTTACTCCACGGGCTGGCAATTATGGTCAACTACTGAACCACCTGCCACAGAATATCAAGCCTACATGTAAATGTGGCATTGATGGTATGCTTGTTCATGTTACTACTGAGAAGTGAAATAATTTGTTTAAAATTCCCACTGTTTTGAAATAAGCTTAAATATCTCAAATTTTAAGAAAGATTAAATGAAAAATCCTGATTGGAGGCTGGTCACTATTCTGTAGCAATGTCTACACAGTAGGTATTCAAAATCTAGTTGGAGAGCGAACAAACAGAATTGAATGGAATAAAAGACAGTATCACAGACCCTGGGACCTGGATAGCCTCATGTAAGAATGAGGCTGGATCCCTGCCGCACTCCATATAAAAATTCAAAGAGCCAGGAAGGTTCAGTGGGAAATTACAACCTAAAGGTACAATATTGCACTTTTGGTGATGAAAATGTTTGGGCATTAGGTAGTAATGACAACTGCACAACTTTGTGACTATAAAAACCACACAATCACACACAGTAGAAAGGTGAATTTTATGGTATGGTATTCCAAGTCTATTTTGATAAAATACAAACTCAACAAAACAAACAGTGGTAACAACAAAGCCATGGCCCAGAAAGTTGAACCGAGGCTTTTACTGAAATGTTCAGATGGGGTACTCTTCACTTGGAAAATGAAAATAAGTTATAGACGAAGGAACATTTGAATTTAAAGCAAATTTGAAGATAAGTCAAAAGATGTATTTCAATAATTAAGAGATGGGTATTTTTCCAGATTTCTGAAATCAGATTACATCTTATAATTGCCAGTGTGTCATACTTTATCTGGATGCATTTTTCTTTGTGGTATATAAAATTATGATGTCTCAGAGTCAATGAATAACAATACTTAAGTTTTCAAATAACATGGCAGAGGCGGCTGGCTGTCCCTCAGTATGTACTCTCTTCTTCCCCAAGTTTCCTTGAGCTGGGGCTGGCCGTCAGCCGGAGACTCACCGCTCCCCGCAGCTAGGTGTGGCAGTGCCTGCGTTCTGGCCATGCTGTGTGAGCAGAAGAGATGCGCACTGTCTCTGCTCTGTGCCTGTAAGGGAGGAACACGCCTCTCTTCTTCCTTCCTTCTTAGTCTTCCCCACTTTTTCTTTCCCTCCCTCCATGCCCCATGCCCTTCCTCCTGGACTGCAGATGTGACAGTAGTCATCTTCACCCAGGAGACGATCCGGTGATGAGGGAGGAGGGCACCCGGCTGCGAATGATGGTCCAGCCCTCTGGCGCACACACTGACGTGATCTTTGCGGCACTGGATTTCTCTGACAGGAGGTGAACGTACCCTACCAAATATCATTTCTGAAATTCACTTTCCTGGGAGTGAACTTTCTGCAGTGGGCTGAACACACACATGTGGACACACATACACATACGTACATACACATGTGTGCTTACCAAATGCAGCCCTTACTTAAGGGGATATAGGTCAGTTTGTTTTTGTTGGAAGCCCTTCTAGCGCACATCTGGCCCTCCTGTGACCCTTGGTTAGGGCCGTCTTTCTTGTGCAGCAAAGGGCTGATCTGCAGTGCCAGTGGGAGCTCTTGGTAGTGCTGTCTGCCTGTCAGCCAAATCCCTCCGGCTTCGTGTGGCAGCGTGGTGAAAATGCATGATAAGGTTTTATGGTTAAGAACGATCTTTAGGCAACACACGTACAGTCACGTTCCTTGCCTGGTGCTGTGCATTTGGGCCGTGAGACTGATGGAAATGCCTGGGCAGTCTGGTGGGCTGTGACCGCAGGGAGGCGCAGCTGTGTGTCGGAGCACCCGGCTCCCGGTGTTTCATATCTGCGGGGACGGCACGGTGAGGAGACCAGTCGGCTTGATCTTGTTGATACCCCCGTCCAGAATGCAGACCCGAGGGTATTTCATCTTCACAAGATGAGCTGCGAACTGGGGAAAGAGCCAGGGTTAAAAGGATACACAGATTTCCCAGCCTGTTTTCCGCAGGCTATGAAAAGATAAAACAATTTTTAACGTGACCTCTACTGTCACTTTTGTATACACGTCCTTCATCTGGTTAGAAATGAAATCAGTCTTATTGGGTGATAAACAACTTTATGCTACAGGATAAATGTGTCTCTTTAGTTCTTTTCGGTGGTTTTCTCTTGGACAAATAGATGGCAAATAATTTAAATCCAGTTTAAAAGTGTGTATGGAAGTAAATTCTTCCTACCCCTGTGCTCTGTGTGCGTTTGTCCCCAAGGTTGCTGCTGTTATTTTTTTTTTTTTTTTTTGGAACCTGCCAGTGAGAGTCCATCTGAACTCTGTTTTGAAAATGCTCCGACATTACTGTCAACTTCCGAGTAGCACGCTGAGACCATGAACCTGGACTGCATCTGAGGGGCTGAGCCACACGGCTCCTGGAGGCTCCTGATTCCTCTCCCGACTCCTGCTCTGTGAACCCGGTACCTCACCCTGCCCAAGGGTGGGCTGAGCCGTCTTGAGCAGGTCACCCTCTGTGGGGAACACGCTCCCTTTCCCACCAATTCCTGCCCCCCAAAACTGCCTAGATTCTATTCATATTCCTAAGTATTTCCTTTCTGTAAGAGGAGGTCTCTGTTGGGGATCTTGTTCCTCAGCCCTTCAAGTTTCTTGTGTGAACCTCAGTCTTTGGCCTTACCAAATTTATTTAAATTATGTAAGGGCTTCCTTTACACATCCGGGAGCATGCGCTCTTGCATTTCTTTCTATTCTCAGTGCCTGGCACCCTGGGAGAAAATATGAAGTGAAGTTTTTGTTTGGCCCGTGGGCTGTTCTGTCTGTTCCTTTCCTGGGCAGTGTCCTGTTTCTTTTCTTTTGGTATTTATGTTCTCAAATTCTTTTCAATTACACTACAGAAACCTGACCTCAGATCCTTCATGAGAAATGACTCCTGCTCTTTTCCATGCTACTGTAGTACGGTCTCAAGACAGAATGTAAACTGTAGGATTTGTGTGAACTAGCTTAGTGGTTTAGTTGGGATAAGTTCAAGGCCCCCCACTGCCATAGACTGGTCGATTTAGGCTGAGGATTTGTCTTTTTTTGAGGAGTGGTACTGTGTAATGAACCTTTGTACTGAGCTACGTCCCCAACCCTTTACAGTTTTTGTTTTTAATTTTGAGACAGGGTTTCACTAAGTCACTACGCTGCCTAGAATCTGTGTTTGGGCTTGAATTTGTGGTTCTCCTGCCTCAGCTTCCTGGAGTGCCAGGAATGTGGGTGTGCATGCAATGTTGGGCTAGAAATGTGTATTTTTAAGCACCCCAGATGATTCTAGACAGTCCATGGCCAGTATTCAGAAACTAGCTGTCACATCAGGAGGTGGAACACATGTGGGTGGACTGGGGTCCGGGCAAGTTCCTGAACAAGTCTCATACGTGGGCCTCTGTGCTGCGGACTACCCACGCTCCCAGGGGCCCCAGTGGTGCTCACTCTGACTCCTGGGCTGGTCTGAAAATCCCAGATGGGATCCTCAGTCATGGTTAGTGTTGGAGAAGTCATGCTGCTATACTCCGAGGCGTCGTGAGAGCCAGGCGACCTGGGCTGCATCCTGTCTGTGCTTCCTTCCCTGTAACCTGGTGCTTAGGTCGGAGGCCCAGCTTCGTCCGCCCGGCATGTACACGCAGCCCGTCCCCGGAGCCCACCATTATGGGAGTGACTTGGCTGTGCTTGCACATGTGCAGCAGTACAACTCCCACTTAGGCAAAGCAGCCTAGCTACACAGTACAACAGTCAAAGGGCTTGTGGATGAGCCGTCTTAGTCTCCAGTACTTTAAAACATCATGGAAGTCAGAGGAGTAAGGAAGAACTCCTACTGTGACTGTAGGAGGGACGTAACAACAGGCTGCTGCTGAGCTGGGAAACAGTGACAGCACACAGGCAGCACAGAGCCACTGGGACAATCAGGCTGCTGCTGTGGGCAGTTAGATTAAAAGGCAGAAACGGAGAATAGGAGATGGCAAATGTTTCAGTGCCTTGAAAAGAAGCAAAAACTGTGCTTAAGGAAAAAAGTGCCTGTTGAATTTTATGTCATACTGTGAGGACTCCTCGGGTTGTATTTGCGGTTGTAATTACGCATGCTCAACACTGGCCCCTGACAGTGGAACGTGACTGCGTCTTCCCACTCCAACCGCGAGACAGATGCTCTCCTCTGCTTGGGTGTTTGGCTGTTGATTTATCAAACAGCTCACAGAACCCTGACCCAGTACCAGACGCTATTCCGGCTTTGCAGTGCTGATGCGCAGTGAAGGGGAGGCAGTGGACAGTCTGCACCAAGAGGTACGGGTGTTGGCAAGCAGTTCAGATTTCCTAACGTAACAGGGTTAGGGAAGCTGTTTTCCTCTCTCCTCTTTTCCCTCGATTCCTTTTCAATACTGATTCCTGAGGAGAATGGGAACTAAACTGATGGCCAAAACTGCTACGCTGATCAGATGGTTTGTGTGTCTTCATCCCGATATCCCAGTTAGGAGTAAAGAAAGGACGGTGGGTGTGTCAGGTGACTTCTCACAGAGAAGCCATGTGGGGCACAGGCCCCGCCGCTCCTCTGAAGCCGCTGAGGACCTGTAGAAGGACCTGGAGTTTGGGGAGTGACAGTGGGCTCCACCTGGGAATATCGATGTAGAATTATGGAGCCCTGACTTAGGAACTCAATTCGTTTCCGAGGGCTGCTTGTGACTCAGGTTGGTCAGTAAAGGCTGAGGCTCCTCTACAGAGTCTTCAAAGTCTCTCTTGCACACAGGCAGATCTCAGTGTCCTTAGAGAGTCACTGGCCAGGATTTCTCAACCCTGCACAGGAAAGGATGCTGTCATGCTCCTTCCAGAACTCTAAGGGTTCAATCTGTCACTGAGACCATCTGGAAGCACAAGTGGCTGGCCTTTGGGTTGTGACACAAGACTTTGGTCCTAAGCGAAAACTAAAATTCCAGTTGTAATCCAAGTTGCTCGTATGTCAGGCTGGTCATAACTCGAGGGTCCACAGTACCAAGCGACAGCCTTGGTAGAAGCGCAAGATGTCACAGTGCATCCATGGTAACGGAGCCATCGGAATCACCTGTGCTGTGGAAAGCAGCAGTGCTCAGGTCTGTTCCAGGAGAGTAGGCGGAGCTGACATCGGCTGTCCCAGAAGGCCACCCCGCTCCTGTCTCTCGGGTGCAGCTGGAATTGAGGACCCTTAGCAGGAAAATGGGATTCATTTGTAGGTCGGGCCGGCTGGGACCTGTGATCGTGAACAGTGAAGTGGCGGTGACCATGGGAAGAACCGCCTGGTGGCTGGTAAGGCTCTGGGTGCGACTGTGCCTGACACACAGGCTGCAAACAGGAATGGGAGGGAGAGACAGAAGTCTGCGTTTACCACTTCAGAGATGCTCGTCTTTGCCACTGCCTGTGGCTGTTCCTCTCCATCCCTTCAATGCCCCCACACAGGCCCTCTGGCTTTCCCCGAAGTGCAGAGAGCTCCGGGTCTAAGTCGACGGTGCGTTCTCCATGTCTGTCCTAGCAGAGGGCCACTGGGGCTCCTACCCTGCATCCCAACTGGGAAATCGTGTGTAATCGGACACATATTTAATGATAAAACTGATCCTGTGAGCCCTGACAGTCCTGAGGGCGAGTCCCTGAACAAGAGAAGACTGCAGTCGTCCTCTGGTCATCTCCAGGGCTGCCCTGGGCACCCCAGCCAGCAGTATCGGTGCAGCAGCTCTGGCAGGCTGCTCCATCTTGTTTTCTCTTGTTAGCTGGGATTGAAAGACTGGTCCAGAGAAAGTCAAGTTCTGTGCAGCAGGACAGTGAGTGAATGGAGAAAAGAGAGTTTTGGACAACCAGAGTAGTTCAGGCTAAGAAAGGCCAAGGCTTCAATGAGCAAGAGACAAGGCAAGGTCCCAGAGGAGCAGAGAACAGGCTAATCTTGTTGTTCAGCTGGGCCTCCAGGACACAGGTTGGGCTTAAATCTGAACTTCTGCAAGATTTAGGGGCAGAGCAACAGTGGGCCAAGGACGTTTCTTGATTGAGCACTGTGAGTTTAAGTTCATATTGCAGACTGGACAGTTGGCATCTTGAACAGAGAGATCTCTTCCCTCTTCTATCTGCCCATTTCTCTCTTCCCAATAATGCTCCCTTTGGGGTGTGGGATGCCTTTGATCAGACATAGTACTGAACGGGGCACCTGGGATTGCTCTGTGAGGAGCTGCAGTAAGCTGCTGTCTGCAACCTAACTGAGGGGGCTGACTGTGCCCGCTCGTGAGTCCCGCTGGCCCTCTGACATCTGGTCCACTGTGCTCGTGTCCAGGCTGATACTTCACACAGTGTACCAGCTTCTAAGAGCTGGCCAGACGAGTGCTTCTGGCATGAGAAAGAGAATTTAGGGTAATTTATTTCTCCATCTAGGGTATGATGTGGCCTTGGGATAAATACAGTAGTCCATCAAGTTGTGACCAACCTGACATACCAACAACTTGGCTTTTGACCAGAATATGTTTTAACTTATGACCACAGTCTCAAGTTACAACCCGAATGATAACTGCTTGTGCTCCCAGATGGTTTCAGATACAGATGGAACCCTTACAGAGATTTGGAAGGGCATCACGGCATCCTGTCCTGTGTGGGGTTCACTGAGAAACCCTGAGCCAGCATCTCTCTGAGGACAGGTAGTATCACTCCTGCACTGCTCAGAAGAATGCCTACTACATAGCGTTGGCTCTAGTGTCTCCTGGGTAGCAACTCGTGCTTAACAATCATTTATACTGTCAAAGAACTCTTCTGGTAATGGCTACATGCAAAGGCTTTAAAAAGGTAAATATGATGAAAAGTTTGCTTGAAAACAATTATTTCTAAAAAGGCATACTGGCTCTTGTTAGAGGTCAGGCCTCTTCTGATAACACTCGGTCACCTACTACCATATACACCATCGTGTGTCAGGT